ACTTTTCTTTAGTCAAAATATTCTTTAAATTTTACCGTTACTGGATAAGTATATGTTGAATGTCGTCGAAAAAAGTATCATTATTTTCCTTGTTTTGACTGTGTTCATTGATAAATTTATTAATTGCGTATCTGTTCGACGTTTACTCCAAAACCTTTAAAATGAGATATACATAAAGAGCATTTACCGAAATAAAGTGTTTTCCGATATGAGTTTTAATGCGTATGGCAACGTTTCTGATATAGAGAAATGCCTCAAAACAGCAAACCACATTGTGGAAAGTGAATCATGTCCGCAGTGGACTTGGGAAACTACTGTTCCTAAGATTAATAAAAAACTTTCCATAAAAGGTTACCTCTTCGAAAGTATTTTGATTAGATATTCGGCCGACGAACTTCTGCGTTTATTAACAAGAAATCGCTTTCTATTAGATATTCGGTGGACGAACTTCTGTGTATATTAAATTCTTTCCCAACGTAACGACAATGAAATTTGAGAATTTTGAGAATTTCTTTAAGTTTTCTGAAGATAAACATGAAATTTGAGAATTTTGAGAATTTCTTTAAGTTTCCTGAAGATAAACGATTTAATTTGACTGGAGATGAAATGACTTTCTTTTCTCTTTATACTGGATTATTTTTTGCGTAAGTGGATTAATTCGACAATCGGTTGTAAGCTTGCGAATTCTAAAAAAACCAGCCATATACACTGCCATTTTTGAAATACTTATTATTCTTCAGTCTGTTCCGTTTCTAAATAACGCGAAATTGAAAATAAGCTATACAAAAAACTATTTATACACGACTTACATTTAATAAGACCTTCTTTGTCTTAAATTCGACATTTTGTTTTTGTGCAAGGACAAAATAAGCGTTATTATTGCATTCAAACAAACACTCTTTTGTTACTGCATTTTGTGCAAAAAACTTCACAGGATAGCTAAACATAATTTTTAAACACAAATCTGTAATGTTAATGCAAATAAATGTTATTCCTTTAACTTGGCTTCAGATTCAAATCTGAACAATTTTGGACAAACTTTTCCAGTTCTGC